ACAATTCAGAAATAGAAACATTTCTGTCTGTCCTGTTAGCCTCTGCACTCTGCTCTGCTGATTATCCAAACTACTGGATTGCCCTGCCCTATACGTTGACCACAAACGTCAGCAGTTTTGCAGTATTCAAACGAAGCTTTTTATCTGCGAGAGTGGCTTCAACTATCAAGCTAAGGCTGCAGATTAAACTGTGTCAATGCTGACACAGACTGGGAAAAGTTGTGGGATTTGTAGCCTGTGCTGTTCCAGCGGAAGGAAGGAAGCAGACAGCATGAAACTCGGCGGTACAGTACTTGGGTAGCGTGCCCAGAGCCCTGGGTCAATCCCAGCAGCACAGAAGAAAATGGGAGGAAGAAAGAAACACCTAACGAACTTAGTGAAACGGTCCTCAAAGAATAGGCTCTGCTGTTAAGCCAACTTTGCAGGTGGATAAACAGACACAGAGAGGAAAGAGGATTGCCCGGGCTCCAGGAGGCCTGCTTCTGGCCCTGAGTGTGTCTGACGCAAGCCTACACTGCCGGAGCTCCCGACTCTCAACGTAATTAGTCATAGAATGGAATCATTTTGCAATAGATCAGGTTATTATAGGTAATGAGAAATGCAAAATACAAAATTACAAGATAGAATTCTGTTTATTATCTGTTCTGAAAGGTAGATATTTGTTATTTAAGTAAGACAATACACCTTATTAAGTAGGCTAATAAGTGCTACACATGTCATTATAAGTAGAATTAATTACCTTTAAGGAAATTCAAACACAGGATCACTTACTCAGGGCCACACATGACTAGATTGGATGGCACAAGGGCTTGCTCTGTCCCCTCCAGGGTGTCTAGATTCCTAAAGGAGATGTCCTGTGGCTTAGCTTTGGGCTGAACACTAGAGGCATTCCAAACGGATAGCGTTGCTAGCTGACCTTCCATGCACTAGAACTATCTGTAAATGTAAATGTTCCAAAAAGGCAGGGCAATGAGTGACAAGGTTGCACAATAATGGAGCATCAAGAACTTCAGAGAACCCTGGAGAAATGCGTAAAAGACTACAACAGGGATTGTTCATGATGAATATTGACCGAGAGGTGTTAGACCTTCCAGCTTCTGGAAGATAGGGGTTACTACTGTTACACAAAATCATCTCAAGTATTTCATTGACTATATATATATGGATGGTGTACAGCATGTTTCAAAGTATGGCCAAACTCTGCAAACACATACACTGTCTCCTATACTTATGTGCTGTCAGCCTTGTTTTTCATGGTGAAAACACTTAAAATCCACTCTTGGCAGTTTCAAGTATACACTGTGTGTTGTTGATAACAACAGCCATTTAACATGCACTAAACTCTTCAAATTTATTATTCTCTAGAATAAAATTTATTTTAAAATAAAGTGATTTCTTCTTTTTAAGAAAAATTGTGTGTGTGTGTGTGTGTGTGTGTGTGTGTGTGTGTGTGAGTTTCTCTCCTTCCACTGTGTGGGTCTACAGATTGAACACAATTCCTCAGGCTTGTCAGTAGGTGCGTTTACCTGATTAGCCACCTCACCGGCCCATCTGGCAGACTTTGATTCCTGTCTATGCAGCCTGCCTCTGCCCCAAAGACACTGGTAGTTACCACTCTACTCTCTGCTCCCATGGGTTTAACTTTTTCAGGCTTGGCATAAAGTGAGATATGTGTCTTTATCTTTCTCTGTCTGGCCAAATCCATCCATCACAATGTCTTCCGTGGTCACTCGTGTTGTTGTAAGTGGCAGAATTTCTCTCTTTTCACAGATGTTGTGTATTTCAGAATGCTGGATTCCAGTAAAGCTCAGAAAGCAGGAAGTATAGAATCCTATCCACAGATGTCCTGAGTCCCAGGATCTCTCAGGAAATCCGGGTTATACAGCCTACTACAACCCCATATGGACTGAAGTAGAAGACATTGGAAATCATCTATGTAGCCAAGGAAGGCTTAGGGCTGGAAAGAGGACTCAGTTCTTATAAAAGACCAGGATTCTGTTTCCAGCATCCATGACTGATAATTCACGACTGCCTACTGTAGCTCCGGGTCCAGGGGATCTGACCACCTCTTCTCTCTTCCGTGGGTACAGCAAGATCTAGGAAGGGCTTTGGAGTCCAGTGACTGAGAAAGGTTGGATGTGGCTCTGATTTGAGCCTTAGAGTTTCAAATCTAAATTTCTGCCCCTTCTGAAACCCCAAGGTCCAAATCAGGAGCAGAAGGAGAGAGAGCACGAGCAAGGAACTCAGGACCACAAGGGGTGCACCCACACACTGAGACAATGGGGATGTTCTGTAGGGAACTCACCAAGGCCAGCTGGCCTGGGTCTGAAAAAGCATGGGATAAAACCGGACTCGCTGAACATAGCGGACAAGGAGGACCGCTGAGAAGTCAAGAACAATGGGACTGGGTTTTGATCCTACTGCACGTACTGGTTTTGTGGGAGCCCAGGCTGTTTGGATGTTCACCTTACTAGACCTGGAAGGAGGTGGGAGGTCCTTGGACTCCCCACAGGGCAGGGAACCTGGTCTGGTCTTTGGGCTGATGAGGGAGGGGGAGTTGATTGGGGGACGGGGAGGAAAATGGGAGGCGGTGGCAGGGAGGAGACAGAAATCTTAAATAAATAAAAATAAATTAATTAATTAATTAATTAATTTCTGCCACTTCCTGGATGGCTGACTTAGGCCTGCTCAGCTCACAAAGAACATTTACTTTGAAATATGGTTTACCTGAATTTGGAGGTAGCTCGGAAAACCCAGGGAAAGGGAGAGCCTCATGGTGACTGGAACCAGGTACCTAGAAGCCTTCCCGCAGAGTGGCTTGCTGTTTTTCCGACACCCTTGTGCTCCCACATTACTTTTACCCTGCTAGCACTAGGAAGTCACCTGCCTGACAGTGTGGCCTCCAGTACTTGGACATCCTTCTGATTATTACTTCAATAGATATTGGCCGGGGTCTGTGGACTGTAGAGGGAACACTCATGACCCCAAATTTGGTCAAATGTGTAGTACAGCACCAATTAACTCTGGCCCGGGGTTCAGGACATGGTTGAAAGCTGGCGGTCAGTGTCCTCTTCTAGTGCCTTTCCCTCCTGTGGGTAAACACTACATCATAAAGCTGCTAAGAGGATAAAACAGGACTAAATAAATTATGGTATTAAAATATTGAGGCCGGACTTGATAGTACACACCCTTGATCTCAGGACTCAGGAGGCAGAGGCAGGTGGAGCTCAGTGAGTTCCAGGAGAAACCATGTCTCAAAAAAAAAAAAAGGAAGAAAGAAAGAAGAAAGAAAAAGAAGAAAAGATTGAACACAGACCCAGCACACAATAAGTACTTACAATGAGCTATAGATGTCCTTCAAGGTCATGTCCACCGAAACACTTGCATGTGATCTCACTGCACATAGAATTTTTGCAAATGAAATCACATTACGATGAGGTCATAACGGATTAAAGTTCACTCTAATCTAATTTGATGATTGGTCTCTTAAAAGAGGGATCATTTCGTGGTTGTTTTGAGACAAAGTTTTGCTATGTAGTTTAGGCTGGCTTCTAAAACTAATAAACATCCCACCTCTATTTCCAAAACGCTGAGATTGTATGTGGGTAAGATAAATGCCTGACAAAGGAGGGAGATGCTATATGCTTGTGGCAGTGTACTCCAGTATCTTCAGATGCTGTCATATAGTTGGCATCTACCAAACACAGCAGGAGGTGTGTGAGAACCTCCCTGACGTGTCTGTTAATAAATCACAGCTGTTTCAAAGCTACCAGTTTATGGCAACTTGCGTGATAGCCCTTCAAAACTATAAACCTTGGTTAATGGGTAGAGATTGTTATAATTTTTTATTGGGAACTTTTAGTTAATTAATTTATTATTTATTATTTTTTGAGACAGGGTTCCTCTGTGTAGTTCTGGTTGTACTGGAACACACTCTGTAGACCAGGCTGTCCTTGAACTCACAGAGATCTATCTACCTCTGCCTCCCAAGTGTTAGGTTACAAACTGGCCAACTTACTTATTTTATTTTTTTGACATTATAAGATAACTATATCATTTGCCCCTTTCCTTTCCTCTCTTCAAACCCTCCCATACATTCCTCCTTGCTCTCTTTCAAATTTATGGCCTCCTTTTCATTAATTATTGATATATATATGCATATAGACATATATTCCTAAATACATCAATACAATCTACTCAGCCTGTATAATGTTACTTAATTTAGCTTGTATTGTGGAGAACGAGGCAAGTAGTCAATACACAGTTTCCTTTACCGGGAGAATTCTCCCACGCCTTGAGGTCAGCTTCACCAGTTCACCTGGAGCTGGAACAGGTTTCCAGACCACATTTGGTCCTTCATCCAACACCCATGGTTGACCTGTGGCTCTGAAAACACTAGTCCTGATACCTTGGTAAACAACGGAGTGATGCTTCCTGGGATAGCCAGGCAAACGAAGCATTAAAAGAAACACATACACACACACAGGCACACACACACACACACAGATGGCCAGCTTGGTCGGTTGGCTCACACTTGTTACCAGTACTAAGGCCGCAGGCATAAGAAGGGCATGGGTTCAAAAACAACCTAGACTACACACAAGATCTAGGCCAGCCTGAAAATTACACAGCCAGATGCAATTACAGGAAGATAGAGATGGGGGAGAGAACAAAGAAGAAGAGTTGGAGGAGAAAAAAAGAGAAAGAAGAGGAGGAGAAGGGAAGAGAAGGAGGGGGTGAAAAGGAGGAGATGAAGGGCAAGAAACCCCGAATCTGGTCATCTTCATTCATAATAACAGATTTCAAATTGAAGCTACCTTGAGATGTGTCTTAGTTAGGGTTTCTATTGCTGTGAAGAGACACCGTGGCCACAGCAACATTTATAAAGGAAAACATTTAATGGAGGCTGGCTTACAGTGTGGAGATTTAGTCTATTGTCATCATGGTGGGAAACAAGGCAACATGCAGGCAGACATGGTACTGGGAAGGGTCTGCGACTTTTACATCTTGACCTGCAGGTAATAGGAGGAGATTGTCACTAGTAGTAACTTGAGCACATAAGACCTCAAAGCTCGCCCCCACAGTGACACCCTTCCTCCAACAAGGCCACACCTCTACAACAAATCTACATATAATGCCATTCCCTGTCAGCCAAGCACTCAAACACACGAGTCTACAGGGGTCATTCCTATTCAGACCACCACAAGATGCTACATGTAACCCCATCTAGTTGGGAAAGACCATAAACACTGTATGGTCAAAAACATGAGAACAATAGGCAATTTCTCTGAGTAAAGTTGGCACATCACCCCTAAGGGCCAAATTAGCAACGTCTGACATTGACAAATGCTATGGTAGATGCTATGCTAAAAGTGGTATGGCCTAGCAATCCCAGTTCTGGGTACAGTATACGCTAGAAGCACAGGTGGAAATGAAGGTTACTTAGTATATACTGTTTGGAAACAGTACACTGGACACTATGTAAATGTACATTAGGAAGACAAATTTCAGCTCATAGAATGGAGTGATGTACAGCCCTAAGAATCATACTTACACGGACCATCCTCTGTGATAAAACCAAGACAGTACCCTGCGCAAAGAACGCTATTGTCTGTATTTTAAAAAGAAGGAAAAGAGATACCATATACTTGCATTTGCTTATATGCGAAATTCCTTCCACCCAAAAAAGTATTTTTAAATTTCGTTTATTGGTCTTTGCAACATCACCAATGGATAAGCCAGGGTGTTCTCCTCTGATTTTGGGGCGATACTCAGAACAGAACAAAAAGAAGGCCAAAGGAGGCCTCTTGGGTGCATTGGGGTCCTTGAACTTCATTTTGGTCTCCCCTTTGGGGGGGACGTAGGTTTTCATTTCTCTTTCATAACGAGCCTTGTCAGCCTTGGCCATGTCTTCAAATTTCCCCTTTTCTTTAGCAGACAAGGTCTTCCACCCTTCTGAGTACTTCTTGGAGAACTCTGAGAAGTTGACAGAAGCATCCGGGTGCTTCTTCTTGTGTTCCTCCCGGCAAGTTTGCACAAAGAATGCATACAAGAACATTTTGCCTCTCGGCTTCTTAGGATCTCCTTTGTCCACGTTTAGGTGATTTTCGTCCGCGAGGCACAGAGTTGCCCAGTGTCCGTCCGGCTCTCGCTTGTCCCCGTGCTATCTCTATGGAGCTCAATGTACTGCCTTGTTTATTGGTCTTGAAATGAGTCCATACCGGTGCCTTTTCCCTGCTTCAAAATACCTTTCACCACACAGAAAGAAGACACTTGCCAATGACTTTTCTGAAAATACTGGGCATGGGGCGAGGCACTGTCTTGTCTGTATTATAAACATATACTTGCACTCCATATTGTAGAAAGAAATCTACAAATCCAGGTCCTTAACTGCCTAGCATAAACACACTACTAATAGTTTGCTTAATTAAGTTCGTCATCTTCCAGCCCAGGGCCCCCAGAGGAGGACAAGGGTGACAATGGTAGAAAATGGCTTGACTTGCATTTCTAGACGTGCCTGAGCCCAAAGAGCGACAAAATGAGGGAAAAATGTAAGAGGTGACAAGGAAAGGAGGAGCACAGACGTCATAAATCCTCCAAACGGGGTCGATCACCTGGCCAGAGGGACAAGAGAGATCTCCAGAATGTGACTGCCTCCACCGCCCCACCCCCAGCCTCCTCTGTCTATAACATTCGCTGTCTGGAAATGATGTCAGACTTTTCTAGCATGTCAATCACCATCATCTATGACTGTCAGCTCTCTGAATAGAACAGTGTTAAGTTTCAATTTTAGTCTCTGCAGATCAGCTTCTGCAAGCAGGGCTCTGGGATCGCAGTTGCATTGGGAGGATGCGTGTATGTCACAGACGGGAGGGAGGCCTATACACAGCAATGCATGCTGAATGCTACTGTTATATCCTGAACGCTCCCGTAGGGGTGGAGACGACCTCAGCCTCGGGAGAAACGGAAAGCCAGAGGACCCAGCTAAAACACAGGTGGGTGCAGACCACAGAAACTACAAGGTGACGATGCTGTGGTCTAACTCACTGTTTGTGGGGAAATTGGTTATTCAGCCATAGATAACTGATACAGAACCAACCCCGGGTGATTACCTTGCTCTAAGAAACATCGCCCAGATGAAACAGAAAGATCTAACTGCAAGTTGGAAGTGACCTAATCTGTACAGAGAAATCTAAATCAAAACTTAAAAGCAGGTGGGTGAATAATACAAAAGCTTTTCATTGAAAAGGGAGGACAATTTTAGCATTTCTTTTAATTCCTACCTCTTAAGTTATAAAAATATGTCAGTTGTTTCTTATAACATTTTCTGCCTCTTTTTAAAAAAATTTCTTGCTGGACTTAGTGGCCCACACCTTTAATCCCAACATTCAGAAGGCAAGGTAGGCAGATCTCGGTGAGTTGGAGGCTAGCCTGGTCTACTTAGTAAGTTCCAGGAAGGCAGGGCTCTATAAAGAGACCCTGTCTCAAAAAGAACAAAAAATAAAAAATAGAAGATAAAAAATTCTCTTCCATGCTCCAATGGATGCTCCTATACCCAGGTACACAATGGCAGCACTAACTGAACTTTGTGGTTTACCAAAAATAAAAAAATATATATATATGTATATATATATGTATATATATACACACATATATACATATATTACATATATGTATATATATACACACATATACTGGTAAAAGGGCATGTTAGGGGGAACATGAAATATGGCAGAGGTTGGAGGAGAATATACATGTAGATAAGATCACATTTCTTTGCATACATGTATGAAATTCTCAAAATTAAAGAAAAATATTTAAAAAGCATTTGCATTGAAGCATTTTGAGTGTAACAAATCAAAGACAGAGTGCCTAAATTAGATTAGACACAACATATAATGCTGACTTATATGTTACAACATTTGGAAATTACATTTTATGGGCAGTGGTAGCACATACTTTTAATCCTAGCACTCAGGAGGCAGAGGCAGGCAGACCTCTGTGAGTTCTAGGCCAGCCTGGTTTACAAAGTGAGTTCCAGAACTGTCAAAGCTATACAAAGAATCACTGACTCAAAAAAACCAATATCTATCTATCTATCTATCTATCTATCTATCTATCTATCTATCGTATGTGTGTCGGTGTATCAGGTCTTTCCTCCTATCGGGTAGGGTCTGAGAACCAAACTCAGGTTACCAGGATTGACAATAGGTCAATCCTTTACTGGCTGAACTATCTTGCTGTTCCTATTTTATGCCATTTTCACCACTAATAGTTTGTTTCCAAACTCTAGTAGAGTCTTCTGAGAGTTCACAAGAGCGAACAGTAAATAAACACAAAATAACTCTGCCTGCCCTCTTCTCTTTCCATAGAAATAAAATTTAAGCCGGACCCAGGCTTCCCAGAAAGCGGTGACACTTCCAAACTTCTGCTGAGACTCAAGGGCGTGTTCCTAGTGAGAGTATGAACTCTGCTTCACTTGTTGATTGTGACAGCGACACCCAGGATCCTCACCACCTGCTCTTTCTCAGGAACTGTACACAAGAAGACTCGGACGGAAGGAGTGGTCCCAGGGCAGGGCATGGAGAATCAATTGGAAGAAGAGAACTCAAGTTATTGAGTTATGTGTCAGGGCAACCTTATCTTGGGCCATGTAACAAAGAGAAATAAGTATGTGTGTTCTTAGAACACTGACTTTTTATTATTGCAACTTACCCATTACCCCTAACTAGTAAATCCAATATTGAGATTTTCAAAAGATGCCACTGTCTGCACGAGGTGGAATGTACCTGTAATCCAGCACTTACCAGGTAGAAGCCAATGGACTTGAGAGTCTGAAGCCAGTTTGGGCTACATAACAAAACCTCACCTTTAAAAATAAAATACCAAGGGCCAGAGAGATGGCTCAGTGCATGAGACTCCTTGCTGTGAAAGCGGGAGGGCCTGAAGATGCGGCTGTGTGGCTTCTGGGACCCCAGCCCTGTGCAGGGCAGAGCCAGCTTAGTCCAGGTTCTGTGAGAGAGCCTGCCTCGAAGGAAGGAGTCAGAGCGTGGAGGGCAGGACACACAACACAACGCACATTGCTGGAACTGGAGACAGAGCGTGGAGGGCAGGACACACAACACAACGCACATTGCTGGAACTGGAGACAGAGCGTGGAGGGCAGGACACACAACACAACGCACATTGCTGGAACTGGAGACAGAGCGTGGAGGGCAGGACACACAACACAACGCACATTGCTGGAACTGGAGACAGAGCGTGGAGGGCAGGACACACAACACAACGCACATTGCTGGAACTGGAGACAGAGCGTAGAGGGCAGGACACACAACACAATACACATTGCTGGAACTGGAGACAGAGCGTAGAGGGCAGGACACACAACACAATACACATTGCTGGAACTGGAGTCAGAGCGCGGAGAGCAGGACACACAACACACATCGCTGGAACTGGGTCATGAGGACAGGACACACAACACAATGCTCATTGCTGGAACTGGGTCATGAGAGCAGGACACACAACACGGCACACATTGCTGGAACTAGAGACTGAGACTGGAGGGCAGGACACGTAACGCAAAGCACATTGCTGGAACTGGAGTCAGAGCATGGAGGACAGGACACACAACACGGCGCACATTGCTGGAACTGGGTCAGGAGAGCAGGACACACAGCATGGCGCACATTGCTGGAACTGGATCACGAGAGCAGGACACACAACACGTCGCACATCGCTGGAACTGGGTCACGAGAGCAGGACACACAACACGGCGCACACTGCTGGAACTGACTCCTGATGCCTCATGCAAGTCATCTAGGTATTTTCATAAGAGTCTTTAAGAAAGACAGTCCCAAGTGAAGGTTAGTGTTTCATCACAGAAGAAAAAGAACACAGTGACTGATCTCAGGTCTCATGATCACTGAAAACTTGAGTCAGATAGAAGGGCTATCCCTGAAATCTAATTGGGTACCACACTGAGCATGGCATGTTTTATGCTGTCTCCCCACCCCACACACACACTTAACTAGAAGAAAGGTTGGAGCAACAAATTTGGGAGACATGAAGATTTAAGTAACTTCATAGAAAACTGTGTGTGTGTGTGTGTGTGTGTGTGTGTGTGTGTGTGTGTGTGTGCAACAGGCTGGGAGCTACTGTAACACCAGCTGTTAAAATCAAACCACGGGGCTTGGTTTCGTGTCCATAAATGACAGCAAGCTGCACTGGGGAGGGAGGCTATGTCCTCCTGAGCTACACTTGGCTGGGTGTGACATCACAGGGCTGTGACAGCAGCCCCATGCTTCTCTGTAAGAGGAAAATGGGATCTCTGAAGAAGATATTTCCTTGTTAATCACCTTGACCATGTTTTCCAGGTAGGATTAAAGAGTCAGGGATGCAGGGAGCAGGGATGAGAGGAGATCACACAATCCAAAGACCTTCAACCTAGAAGGGCAGCTGGAGAAGCAAGGTGGCCACAGCATCCACAGTCATTTATTCAGCCAAGCAGCAGGTTTCACAAGGGCAGCCAGGAGCAACCCCACCTCCACCCCTTACCCCAGCAGCCTTCTGCTCCCAACTAAGGATTGGATTATAGTTTTCCTGCAAGGCAATCACCTAAGCCTCCTTTAACTGTTGCTTCTCGATAGCTGCAGAGGTGCAGAGGTCATTTTAGAATCTCAGAGACCAGGAAGGGAGGTTTAGGAGTGCCCAAGGAAAACCATGACACATCTGCAGGACTTTTCTTTTGCTGTTTTAAAGCAGTCGCTGGGGCGCCTTGTTCCCTTTGGGTCTAAATTAGCAAGGCCAAAGGCAGGAGCAGAGCTGGGAATGTGGAGATTTCTGTTTATCCATGACACCACTGGGGTTGACTCTAGGCTCTTCGCTTTTTTTCTATTGTTGAACAGGTTGGAAGGGCACGGTGACTAGCCTGTGAGGAGGAAACGTTGCATCAAGCCGAGTTTGGAAAGCACTGGTAATTCTCTCTAGGAGCAAGACTCCTGGGAAATAAACTTGCAGAAACCAGGCAAAAGTGGGGACAGGGAGCTAAGGTGTAGGGATGCGTGGGGGTGGGGGCAGCTTCACCTTGGGCTCAAGATTTGAAAGGAGTGTCACGAAGCTTCCAGGCTCCCGCAGCGTTTGGAAGGATGCACAGTACAGGTGCACAGTGCTTTTCCTTAGTGGTTAGCCTGCATTAGCCCGACAGAGTGGGGTTGGCGCGCAGGTCAAACACCTAGACTCTTCCAAGCAATTGCGAGAGCACCCTGAAGGGAGGGGCTGGGGTCGCCCGGATGGCAAGGAAGGGGTCGGCAACGTGTGCAAGGCGGAGGAAGACACCTGGGTTTCCCCGCGTGCAGGGCGGGCGCTAGGACCCGGGCGGCGCACCTGTTGGCTGGCCCGGCGCCCCGCCCGCCCTGCGCTGGGAGCACCGGGCTGCGGAACGCCAGGCCAGGGCGCACGCCGAGGACACGGACGCGCGTGGCTGCAGGTCGGACGTGCGTGACTGCAGGTCGGACGTGCGGGGTCGCGGCTCACCATGGCCGAGTTGCTGCGGAGTCTGCAGGATTCGCAGCTCGTGGCGCGCTTCCAGCGCCGCTGCGGGCTCTTCCCGGCGCCGGAGGACAATCCTCGGGAGAACAGCGCGGGCCCCTCGGAAGGGACGACGCGGGTCCCAGAAGTCGCGCATCTGCCCTCAAACCCGCAGGTAACCACGGACAGCTGTCTGCAGTGGGGAGAAGGGCGACGGCCGCCTGCGTGTCTGCGGGTCCCGGCGACTCCGCGATGGGGATCGCGGGCTCCTACCGCCGCCTCCCAGCATCCGCCCTAGGGAGGGTATGGCGGGGGTCAGTCACACGCTGTCACATTCTGTCGCTGCAGGTGGTAACTACATCTTCTCAGACAACACCCAGAGCCTTTGCATGTATCCGTTGAGAGATTGTATACTTTAATTACTTTAATGAGTAAGTTCGTGTTTCAGTAGATTCTGCCAGAAGTGTGAGAGTTACGTAACTGAAAAGAGGAGTGGGGATGTCCTTGGCACTTCCCTGGGATACAGCCTGAGAACTGCCCCAGAGTTCTTAGGTTGCAGCATCCTCCTCCTTTTGCTCCTCACAGACTCAGAAGTGGCGCGCTTCGCTTCGCTTCGCTGCACCACCAACCCTGGGCTCCTCAGAGGTTTCACAACCCCACATCCCGTCACCCTCAGGGATGGGGGTCCAACGGGGTCTCCCTCCTGATAACCCCTACTCTTGGGGGCCTTCCAGCCCGGTTGGTCTTCTGTGACTGGCCCTAGTGGCCTTTTCCATAGCTGCTTTGCATCCTGAGCGAGGTTATACAATTCTACTGCAGCTTTGCGTTCTGCAGTGCCAGGGACTCCTCCAAGCTAGAAGGACCCGGCAGGCGGCAGATGGCAGCTACGGAAGCTTGTCTCCCTTGGGCACCACCAGCAGCTGCCCTTTCCCTCAACTAAGCAGAAAATGATAAACCAGGAGATAAGCAATTCTACTCCCCCCCCCCCCGCCGCCACCTCCCCAACACACACACACACACACACACACACACACACACACACACACACACACACACAGTTTTGTTCTCCCGGAAAGATTCTGTTAACTATAAAGTGACACGTCCTTGTGTACAGATAACCAGTTTAGAACCTGAATCTCTTGTAGTGTAGAATACTAGAGGCATTGAGTTACAGAGTTCATTTGGACAGATGGCCTTGGGCTGGTTACAATACTTTCGCTTTATGGTTCCTTCCCTGTGCTATATGGCATGCGAATAGCTTTTAGATTAATTTAAGACCTCTGTCTTTACTAGTCCCTTGTCCTAAAAGGCGATGGAGGTGTATAAGACTAATGCCCCACCCCCATGGGAGGCCTTTCCTGCGCTGGCACCCTACCTACATTCAGGGCCTGAGCCAGCTACTGTCTCCTGTACCTGCGCTTCCCAATTCAGGAAGCTGAGGACTAAATTTTCCCATTAAGTGTTTCTTAATCCCTGCAATAATGTGATTGCACATTCTGGGGGAGGTTCCTCTTCCCCTTTAAAAACAAGCTGAGCATACTCGTTGCTTCTTGGAGTGCCCAGATGTTGGGGGGTGGGAATCAAGGAGTGGGGTTCTGGTTCCCTCCCCAGACTTGGATTACTGTAGCCCAGGAAGTATGTAAAAGAAAGCTGAGAATTCAGGATAATAAATCCAGGTAGTGGCTGTAACAGGAAAACATTAACTTGAGATCTTTTGATAAGAGAAGGGGTTGTGAGTGTTTTAAAAGGTTTAAGAGAGGTGGAAGGTTAGCTCTCAACAAATAGGAATAATTGTATCTCTGCCCCCAGATAACTCACAGGGTCTTAAGGGGGCAATTGTGAACATTTTCACCACGGCCCTCTTTCCTTCTGGCTTTTTACAAACCAGATGGTGGCTGTACAACCTTTTAGCATTTTTTTAAAAGGCAGTTTCACTATGTGGCCCAGACAGTTTCACTATATAGCCCAGGCTGGCCTTGAGCTGGTAAAACTCCTGCCTCTGCCTCCCAAGGGCTGAGGTGTTAGGTGTGCCCCGTCAAATGGGACACTCTTCAGCTCTCGAGGACAAGTCCTTTGCTGACAGCAGGCTGTCTCCAGTCCTGTCGGTTCTCCCTGCTACTTGAGGTGTGTTCCTTGCAGAGGGCACTGCATTGTGTAACTGCCTTTGAGTGGGGAGCTGATGATGCCAGCCTTTTCCTGTTGATGAAATAGCCAGCAAGGCAGGAGCTTTGTTGGTTCTGCCCATTTTCTTGGATCTTCTTCACCCAGTTGAAGCTCTGCGAATTCTGTGGCTATCTAAGCATGGCTTGCAGTGGGAAAATCAATAGCTTTTAAGATTTTAAGCAGACTACTAAAGATCAAATTAAATACCAAATGATTTTTTTTTCCACATAGCCTAGAAGACAGCCCTGGGACATTGACTTAGGATCTTTCAAATAGTTGAGAAGTTAATTCCTTCATTGAAGTTACTTTAGATTTCAAGGAATCAGATTCATCTTCTACATTTTCTGTATTTATTGTAATCCTTAACGCTAGACAGGTAAGGAAATGAATACAGGCTTCCCATACAAATTCTCATAATACCACACACGTTCAGGTTAGAGATTAACTCTATCTTTTACTAGCTAGGGTGTGGCTTGGCTTGCATAAAGCCATCATTGGAAAAAAATGGGCTGGGCCTTAGACTTTGCCCAGTAAGTCTGAGTCCCTAAGGTTGAATGACTTGTTGAGAACTACCCAGATAGCTGCACAGTTTCAGGAAGCCAGATCTTTTGATTCCGAAGTCTAAACTTGAAGCTTCCATGGCAGAAATCCCAGGGCTTTGTGTGTGCCTTGCTGAGAAGGTGTGGGGCATGAGACTTGGCTGGACAGGGTGGGACTGAGATAGAGTGAGGTACTACCAGCTGCTCTTTACAAAGAAGCTCTTTACAATGTTTGCAGGGTTAGCCATCAGAGGGCTTTCTGAATGGTCTTAGGAGGTAGTGCCTGCTCTATGCAGGGATCCTAGTATTGTGTGCGGAGGCAGAGACCAGGAAAGAATTGTGTTTATTTGTTCTGAGGTCAAGCCAACCTGCTATACAATGGTGTTTTGATTTCTGACACCCTTGCTTGCCCAACACTATTGTGTTTAGGCTTTGTGTAGCCTTTCTTCATCATTACGTTGCACTGGGCTTGGACTTTCCAAACATTGCTATGCTCAATAAATACTCTTTGATAATTGCTCACACATAATTCTCAAGTTTGGTTGCATAGGAATCAAAATTAGGTTGTGTTTAAAATTACTTTGTTCCAGGCTGGGAGATGGTGGCCCATGCTTTAATCCCAGTACTCAGGAGGCAGAGACAAGTGGATCTCAGAGTCTGAGGCCAGCCTGGTCTATAGAGGGAGTTCCAGGACAGCCAGGGCTACACAGAGAAACCCTGTCTCAAAAAAGAAAAAGAAAAAATAAATAATAAAATAAAACTAGGCAGTGGTGGTGCACACTTGTAATCCCAGCACTTAGGAGGCAGAGGCAGGCTGTGGTTCGAGGCCAGCCTGGTCTACAAAGCAAGTTCCTGGATAGTCAGAGCTGTTACACAGAGAAACCTTGCCTGGAAAAAAAATCAGTGTGTGTGTGTGTGCGCGCGCGCGCACATATATATAATAAAACAATGTAAAAGAGATTATTAATATATTAAAAAGGGTCAAAGGAGCAAATAGTAAAAGAACACAACCATGGTCATTTCTATTGAGCAAAAACCCCTGGTACCAAAACAAATGAGAAGATCAAAAACTCATGCTTCTCGGGTTTAAAAACCAGTATTTCACTAACAAAGAGGAAGTATGCCGTAGAGTGAAGTACACACCCACATAACTAAGTTCCAGAAAGACCATCTTGGGTTTTGTTTTTCTGTTGGCTGTGGTAAAACTCCATGAGCAAGGCAGCTATGGAAGAAAGAGTTCATTTGGATATATGGTTCCGGGGGAGGGGGGAGAGTCCCCATGGCAGGGAAGCATGGCAGCAAGCTGTAGACACTGCAGGAGCAGTGAGCTGAGCCTTCACATCTCAAGCCTGGCTCTCAGTGACATACTTCCTCTAGCAAGACCATTCCTTGTAAAGGCCCCTCCCCTAAGCACCAGCAAGGGACTAATTACTCAAACCCTGGAGTCCAGGTGGAACAGTTCTCATTTTAACCACCATGGTTTTCACTCTTGTTTTATGTTCAGACCCCACTGCATTGTGTACATATGATGGTATTTTGAATGAATAAATTTTGCAAAAGTGCAAAGCAATGAAACTTCCATCATAAACAATGCATAGGAGGAAGGGTGGTTGTTTGAACATCTTTGCACTTCTGTTTTCTCTCTTCAAACTTTCGGGGCCTATCTAAGTCAACTGGAAGTCTACATAACGCCTTCATTGGGTTATTGGTTTGACCTCCTGGGGATCAGGAGTCTAGGACCGGGCTATTGCAGTTTCTTGTGGACTGGGCCTCTTTTGTCCCATCTGCACAAGAGCAGAGTGGAACAGAGCTGTGTTTTGCTAAGTGGCTTTACATTATAGTCACTTAAAGGAATGGAACTTTAAAAGCAAACCAGCAAGCAAAATAATGTCCAGAATCAAGCCCAGTGGAACTGTCAACTGAGGGAGAAGCTCTGGGTTCTCTTTCCCTGGGACTCACACCCATAGGATGTTCGGTATGCAGATGGAAGTGAGCCAGGAAGTAGTGGCAACAGCTGTGGTGGTTTAACTTCATTGCAGCCGACCTGATTGACAGGTCAAACTTCAAGTTTTGATTAGCCTTTGTGCGATGTTCAGGCTTGAAAGGGTAGATGCACCACTTTGAAAGTGCATATTGGTGACTCTTTTCTTCCTTTTCTAGTTACAGATGTTAAAATTTTGAGAAAATGCGGAGAAAAAAATTAGCCATTGTGGTAAAAGAAGTGTCCGGGAAGCCGGAGAGAAGGGCAAGCCCTTTGTTCCGTGTGTCCCCCCCCCCTGCCAAATAATTACGTGGAAACTGTATTCA